CCAGGCCCTGCCGGCGGTGCAGTCAGTAAGAGTGGCCGGGGCCAGTGCTCCATGTCAGGGTCACACGTTGCACCCTCTGAGCAGGCCAGCCCGGTCACTGTCACCATCACCCAAGGCTTCCCCTGGAGCCTTGCCTGCAGTGGGACCCCGAGGGGCCTGGGCAGTGCAGAACCCAGGTGGATGCCCAGACCGAGCCTCCTGCTCTGTCCATGGTGCTGAAAGTCTAGGCCCAACCTGCCTGGGGTCCCTGCTGCCAGTGCTCCCTGACCCCTGCACCCCTGTCACCCAGTGCAACCACAGAAAGACCCCGCTCCCCGCCCCCCCCCCAGGACAGAAGGCAGTGGGGCCGGGGGCTCTTTCCTTCTGCCCTCCGCCCCAGCGGGCCAGTCCCCCATCGAGCACATCAGTGTCCCACTCCCTCTCCCCCCAAGGTTGGGCCTAATCAGAGCTAATCAGAAAATTATGAGCTGCCTGATTACTGATTAGGTTCCTAATGTTAATAGAGTCGAGAAGGACCCGCTCAGGCAGTGTTTTAGGGAAAAGTATAAAAATAACATCACGGGAAGGGGCATGGCGGCTGGAGGGGCTCCACTGTCCTCGCAGATGGGGGCTCGGCTCTGCTTCCGTGGACATTCATCTCCTGGTGGAGGGGCTCCTCGCAGCACATGTCCTCCCAGGCAGCTCTCACCACGGCGGCTCCAGCAGCCCCAGCTCAGGGCAGTGGGACCGAATTGCCTTAGGAGCCACGCGGGTGTAAAGAAGAGCTCGCTGCCCGGCCGGCGTGGTTCAGGGGTTGAGTGTCAACCTATGAACCAGGAGGTCACGGTTCCATTCCCGGTCAGGGCACATGCCCGGGTTGCAGGCTCGATCCCCAGTGGGGTGTGTGCAGGAGGCAGCCGATCCATGAGTCTCTCTCATCATTAATGTCCCTCTCTCTCTCTCTCCCTTCCTCTCTGAAATAACATATATAGAAGGGACCTCGGAGGGCAGGAGGGTAAGGCCAGGTGCCAGTTGTGCCCAGGAGGCTCTGGTGTTGGTGGTGCACTTGACAGGAAGGCAAAGCCACTGGCATCTCCATCTCCTGCCACGTGCAAGTCATGGGTCCTGGCAGCACTCGGCCATGCCGAAGCCCTTCTCCCCCCTCGGGGCGCAGCACAATGGGAGATCGGGACAGGAGCTGCCCTCAGGCCGTGGGGAGTGAGGCTGTCCCCACAAAGCTCTGAGCACGTCGAATGCCACAGATGGTAGCAGTCAAGGTCGCCACCACTCAGGTAGCAGGCCCTGTGCCGGGCACCACCCACAGGCTACAGGCTGTGCAAGGACAGGGCCGAGTGGGGTCCCCTGGTCCCTGACTGTGGATGGACCTGCTTGAGCAGGCAGGACAGAGGGACAGATGCCCACTCGGGCCAAGGCCGCAGGAAGGAGAGCCGGCAGGGCCGGGACCCCCACCCGCCTGCTCACCTGCCCCTGTTGTCGGCCCCGGGGCTCCGGCTCCCTCCTTGCTAAGCTGCATCTTGCTTCATTATTATGCAGATATTTTAATTATGCAGATATGTTTTTAGACAGTTTTAAATATGTATATTATTTACTCATTAGACCATAACAGCTCTGGAAATTGAAAATCTGTATTTAGTATCTATCAGTGCACAGTACAGAGCCAACACAGGGCCCGAGGGCAGGAGGGAAGCAGGGTGGGGCAGCGGCACTTTGGAGCAGGGCAGAGACTGCGGGGCACCCTAGTGCCTACCCCCACCCAGGGTCTGGGCCAGTGACACCAAGGTTGGGGGACAGCAAAGGAACCACCTGGGGGCAGGTGAGGGGTCCTGCGGCCAGGCCCCTCCCGCCAGGCCTGGTGCTGCCCTGGGCGTTCGCTGTCCAGCACGCTGGTCCACCCGCGTGTGCTGCCTCCACTTCCTCCCCAGAGCCGGGCCGTGGCACCTCACCTGGCAAAGGAGGGGCACAGAGGAACCCACCCCTTAGGGGTCTTGCTAGGGGTGGGGTGGGGAGGGCGAGGAAGAGGCACCGTCTTCCGCCATCATGGGATTAACTGCGCACTCCCTGCGGGCAGCCCCTGGGGATTGGCACAGGGGGCTGCCAGGAACCGACCCACTCTGAGTGGGTCCAGTTTACACACAGACACTGCGGGCAGGAAGCCACTCGCGCAAGTCAGGCAGGATTCGAACCCAGGCCGGTGCTCCAAGGCCCCCGGGTCCAGGCTCTGACCCCCACCCAGGGCTCCTCAGGCCTGCCCGTGGGCGGTCCCAGCCCTCCACCCACGTCTCATCCTCACGCCTGACCAGACACAGGCAGCCACACTGCCCACCCCAGCGCCATTCCGATGCCCAGCCCTTCCCCCGCACCACCGGGCCTGTGTGTTTAGCAGTTTCCCCGCGTGCGGCGCCCGGGGATGGACTGATTGATCTGTAACACCGAGAAAATAATAATGCCTTGATCGTTACTGAGGATTAAAAGTAATCCTTTCGCTGTGGCTATTGCAACTGTTATTCGCGAGTCAGAGGCTGACCCCAGCCTTTGAGCCTGAGGGACTCCGAGAATTCAGGGAGGCTGGGTGCTGGGACCCCCTCCCTGGGGCTCCCCTCCTTGGGCCAGGGAGCCAGAGGGGCTGCAGCCTCATGTCCTGGGGGCTGTGAATCCGGGCACAGAGCTGAGCCCTGGGAGGGTCAGGAAGGGGCGGGCAGCAGTTGCTCAAGGCTCCCTCCTTCCTTACGCTTCACCCCTCCGCTCCAGGCCAGGTGCTGAGCTGTGTATAGCTGCTCAGTTAACGGTCACGTGACAAGTGTCGTTAACATGCATGTCACACGTCACACAGCAGTGTCCTCTGCAGAAGGGCACCGCGGGCTTGTGCATGAGGGGCCTCGCCTGTCCTGGGGGTGCGGTTCGGGAGGAAAGGAGGCCCCGGGATGGAGAGGGAAGGGCAGGAGCTGGGGCCTCAAGGAAGCTTTGTCTCTTTTTGTTCTCATTGATTCTAGAGAGAGAGGAAGGGGGAGGAGAGAGAGAAAGGGAAACATCGATGTGAGAGAGAAACATCCATCGGTTGCCTCCCATACATGCCCTGACCTGGGATCGAATCTGAGAACTTTCGGTGCACAGAACGACATGCTAACCACCGAGCAACACCAGCCAGGGCGAAAGCCTTGCCTTTTATATGCAGAGCCATTGGGGGCTGCTGAGGATTTAGGGGTGGGGGCGGCCACACGCTCAGATCCACATTTTAAAGGCTCCAGGTGCCATGAGGAGATAAATGTCAAAGGGCAAGAGAGGACGCAGGGGCCGGAGGGAGCGCAGAGCCTGGGCGGGGACACCCTCTGCGCAGCTGGTTTGAGTGATCTCGACGGTAGGATGTAGGGGGCAGAGCTCCAAGGTGGGCTCATTCCAGGTGCCATGGTGTGAGCTCCCGTGGGCCTGGGCGTCACCCCAGGAGGGTGTCCAGGAACTCAGGGGGGGCCAGAATTGGAGGCAAGACATGGGAGGGACCTGG